CATGCGTAACCTTGGGTACGCCCAACGTACCTGAGGGGGAACGCGTCCAAAGGAGGCGCGCGAGTACGCGCAGCGTACACCTTGTACGCCCAACGTACTCGCCTACCATGAAAACCCTAAATTAACAACTTAACCAAGATGCAAGGCCAAAAGAAGAATACCTGGATTTCGGGCTGTTACATCATTGTTGTAGTATCATTACAGAGTATATAATTGAAACATATCATCAGCATCATCACACATGTAATATAGCAACATTTATTGTTTACATCGAGTATTGTATTTGAATATTACGTGCCAAAATAGTAGGAGTATGATGAAACAAAATATAACATAATATCCATTAGTTTGTTTCGTTCATCCTGCTTCAACGGTTTCCTGAGAATACAAGTTATTTTGAAAACGTCAACATATATAATGTTGGTGAGTTCATAAACATGTTTGTGAAAATGATTTGTATAACTCTGAAAACCACCAGAAAATCCGATATTTTCTGCAAGTTGTTTAGTATGTTTGTGTCAGATCTTGTATTAATGCATGTATGTTTTTGTTTATTTGACTAAAAGATGTAAAGATAATGTAGAGGGAATGTAATGAGCATGTAAAGAGAATGTTCCCAGACAACCCGATGTTGTCTGTAAAAGAGAAAGCTGTCATACCAACCCCCGAGGTTGAGTACCAGTACAAGAATGTTTCTGAGTAATCCAAGAGAAAAGAGAATGGTATTCTATAAACTTCATAACGTTAATTCCTCTAAGTGAGCCGTCATAACCATACTAAATAATGACAATTTCGCATGTCTTGGCGTTTTTGGACGCCAATTTTGATTTTTGATTATAAGGTCTTCGTCACCCTAGACTGAGTTAGTCTAACTGTAGCGAACAACTCAGGTGTGGGGTGTCATCCCCGTATAAATCTATACACAAATCCCCGCTCTCTCTCCAAGAGACTTTGGTTATGGTTATAACTACAGGCTACGATCATACACTTAATAGGTGCCAACCGACAAAACTCACTAGATCCTTAATTAAATTTACGCGAAGAAAAGTACAAACTCATTCCAAGCCCAATGAACCATGTAAATGAACCACTAAGGCATCGCTAAACATGTAAATCATTTCAAGGACAACCAAGGCTCATTTCACACGTAAGGTATTTACATGCCCAAATAGCACACAAATAGTATCAAGGTCTGTCGCACATGTTAATGGGTCAATGAGGCTCAATAAACATATAAATAGTATACATGACCTATCACATATAAAAATGGGTCACTAAGGCCCAACTAGCACACTAATAGTATCCAAGGTCCATCACACATGTTAATGGCTCAATGAGGCCCAATAAACATATAAATAGTATACATGACCTATTACACATAAAAATGGGTCACTAAGGCCCAAATAGCACACTAATAGTATCCAAGGTCCGTCACACATGTTAATGGGTCAATGAGGCCCAATAAACATATAAATAGTATACAAGACCTATCATACATAAAAATGGGTCACTAAGGCCCAAATAGCACACTAATAGTATCCAATGTCCGTCGCACATGTTATTGGGTCAATGAGGCCCAATAAACGTATAAATAGTATACAAGACCTATCATACATAAAAACGGGTCACTAAGGCCCAAATAGCACACTAATAGTATCCAATGTCCGTCGTACATGTTAATGGATCAATGAGGCCTAATAAACATATAAATAATATACATGACCTATGACACATAAAAATGGGTCACTAAGGCCTAAATAACCTATAAAATGATGAAATTAATCCGTTTGTTATTTTATCGTTGGTTTTGGTTCAAGTATTCACTAAAACAGCATAAAGCCCACTTTTTGTAAAATGACGTTCTTGGCCCAATAAGCCAAAAATTTACAATTAAAGCCCAATTTTTGTAAGAAATACACTTTAGTCTCCATTTTGTTCAAAATTTGTGTTGATGACTATTTTGTGGTAAAAACAACATTTTAAAACCCCAATTTGTCAAAAATATCATTATTGGCTTGATTTTTTTTTTTTTTTTTTTTTTTTGTAAAAATACACATTTTCTTGTTTTTGAGCTTTTCCGACCTAGTTGGAAAATTTGTAGAAAAATCATCGTAAGTTGAAATTTGGATCCGTAAATTCTAGAAGTTTGGAAATTTTGTCTACTTTGTTCACAATTTTTCTCATAATTTTTAATGGCTTCTAACAAGTGTGAAATTGCTCACATTTGCAGGCTGATCCGAAATTATTTAAAATCTGATAGGCAGATTTGTAAAATTCGCCAAAAATTGTAGAAAAATCGTAACTTTATCCATGTAAAACAGTTTTGAAAAATACTTCCATTAAGAGGGTCAAAATAGTTCGAGGTTGGGCTAAAACTTTCCTGTCAAAAGCTGATTTTTGAGTATAAGTTATAGATCTTTGAGCACAACACTTATTTTTGCTATTTTAAGTGTATAATTCCCAGATCTACAAGTTTATATGTAATATATGTGATAAAAACATACTTTTCTCAAGGTTCTTATGAATATCCAAGTGATAAACTTCAAGTTCTTAACATATTTTTAGATTAATGAAGTAATCAACACATAATCACCAAATAATTCATGGAAAACACATATACTCATGCAAATACACATAGATCTACACAAAACAACTTGTATTCTCCCCCAAAATCATATGAAAACCGAAAACAAGGGGTATGAACTCACCTTGGGGTGTTGGATTCGATTTTTGGTGAAGAGATGAGTAGATCTCGGCTCTAGCAAACTCCTTGAGGATGTTGTCGAACTTAAAGGGTTCTAGGGATCATGATCCACGAAAATATGGTGTAAGAGGAATGATTTGGGTTTAAAGATGTAGTGAATCAACTTAGGTTGTAAGATCTTACCAAGGATGATGATCTTTGATGAAAACTCCTCTTGAAACACAACCAAAATCTCGAAACTTTGGTGGAAGAAGGAAAAGTTTTGAGAGGTTTTTTGAGAGTGTTTGAAGGGGAAAAATATGAGAGTGGTATGGTGGTGTTTCGGCCAAGAGACAATAAGAAGGGAGGAGAGAAAGTTTGAGGTGATGTTTGCATGGATATCCACCATGCAAACATGAGGTGTCATATGAACAAATTTCCCTTTTTTTTTTTTTTTTTTTTTTTGTCAAATAAGCATTGTGGGCCGAGAATTGAGCTTATGTGAGATGAGAATGAAGTAATTTGGCCCATTTTGGTCTTGTCTAATTTTTATGGAGCCCAAGAATTATTTTTTGGCCCATTGGGCTCTTAAGGAGGCTCACGACCCAAATTGGTAAAATAAATTGGTTTAGGGCACTTTATGGCTAATTAAATCCTTTATGGCCCATAATGGGCCAAAATGCTAAAGTTACCGGTACGATCGTGAGATGAACAAAAGTTACTCAACAAGCATCACAAGAACACCAAAGGAGCCTAAGCTCTGATACCATGTAAAGAAACGTAATTGACACAAAATATTCCCAACATCATCATTTCATTCACTATGAAATAGATGGTTTACATTAACAGATTACAAATCAAACCTCACTACACAATCAGTCACACTCATATTACAACTCAAGTATGAAGACGATCTATGAACAAACCCTAAACTGAAGATGAGAGTGAACTAAGAAAATACATATGAAAATATCTCGACTCATACCCTATTGAATCAAGCTAACACATTATATACATCAGATCACTTTAACGTCGGGTATCACCCATTAACCCGCGTGTATATCCATTACATGCATAATCAATTCACAACACCTCCCCTCAAATATATAATATTACAATTCTTACCCTATAATTAATAAAATTAATGTTTAAGTTTGCAGACATATATTAACTCTTTTCAACAATATATATATATATATATATATATATATATATTTATATATATATATATATATATATAATGTTTTTGGATGCCTATTGTGTATAACCCCGATATACATATGATGTTTTTCATGAATAACACATTATTTTGATATGTGTTTAGCTATCAATAGTCTTGTAGTGACATCTTGAAGGTCGAGAAGCTTACATTGATTTTTGAAAATCTTTTTATATGTTTGAATTTTGAAATAGTTAGACATTATTATGATGCCATATATCTTACATCGATTGCAATGCATAGTATACTCTTTGACAAATTAGGAAGAGGTTGTTTTGTGCTTTTTTGCAATTTTTTCCTTAAATTGTTTTCAAAAATACTTTTAAATCCTATTTTAAACCACCTATACAAGAAGTGGTGTTTCAAAACATATCACCAATGACGAGCATTAGTAAAAATGTAAAATTAAGTTAACACAGTAAAAAATATTTTACCATATGAAAAGATTCGAGCAGAAAAAATATAGATGGAAGGTAATGAAACCTAACCTAGATTTTATATGAATTTATCTAATGAAACTAATGTTTGATGGAAAGTTAGATAGATTGATTTTCCACCTTTATGTGACTCATTTCTTTAATGAATATTTTTTTGAGATTAAATCTACCTGATAGATGAAATTATTTTGACAAAATACAATAGTCTTTTATTGTAGATATGATCCACTTTAAATCTTTATGTTTTTGCAATTGTTTATTTTTTTGGTTTTATTATTCTGTCTTACATTATTATTTGTGTTTGTATTCTCCTATCATTTGAAACCAGCACATTTGTTCACTTCTTCATAAGTGTTTAGCATTAATAACCAACACCTCACTTCTTCGTAAAATGTTTCCAAATTTTTGTATTTATAGCTTATATCTCTTAACACACATTTATATCTCTTAATAAACATGTAACCTACTTTGGTTTTATTCGGAATCCGTTTAGGCATTCCATTAGAATTAACAAGGGATGGTTTGTGTACGTATTTCATCTAACAACGAGTTTTGAACTTTTGATGTATTTCCTTTCAATACAAGGAACTTTTGTGTAACAACATATGAGTAGTGGGCTTAAATGTAATTATTCAGAGCGTTAAAGGATGATTTGTGTAACATTACTTTGGTTAAAGTCTTAAACCCTTGAAACCACAAAACCCTTGGAAGCTTGAACTTCAACAATGGCGGATTATCAGTCGCCGCGAGCAGAAAAGAGCAGCAGTAGCAGCGCAATGAAGAGGAAGAAAAAGAGAAAGCTTCCAGATTCGGAGAATAAATACGAGGACAAGGCTTCGAAATCATCTCGTATCAATCAATCGGATGATTTTGTAAACGAACCAATAGAAGGAGATAAGGAAACGACAACAGAATTGCTTGAAGATGCAACTCCGTGGAGAAATTTGCAGTTAATTTTGTCACTACAGAAGAAGAATCTCAGTATTGAGAAGTAAGCCTCTTTTCGTACAACAGTGTTTGTTCTACTCTCCTGGTATTTGTTTTCATTTCCGTGTGTGCGTATATTGTAGGTTTTATGCTTGTTTACATGAAAAACGTTAGGGAAGAATCATAGAAACGGAATGAATTTGAGGTCAAATGGCTTGTAACAAGAACATGGCTATATTGACTGTAATATTTGGTTATACATTTCTGATACTCGAATACTTTTTGTGCAGAAAGGTAGAACTCGCATGTAAGTTTGTGAATTTGAGTTTTAGTCAAGTAGCAGATGACACAACTCATCCATCAGAGGCTGTTAGCTTTGATAGAGTAGTTACATTTCTCAACAATTGGGTCCAGTCAACGTTAATCTCTTCAGAGAAAGAAATTAGGGTTTCAGGGCTTACTCCTCAGTTTGGTGTAAGTGGTTCTTGTTTAGATTATAGATGCTGGAAGATTTTCAAGTTCTGCCTGGAGGAGGGTATGAAATTAAACATTTCACTGAGCTTTTCTAAGGATATCTTAAAAGTTATTCACTGCATCACTAGGAACATGGAAATCAAAGATTTGAATGAAGATGAGTTAACATTATACAACACAATTCTTGATTGCATTTCACTCATTTTCACATCACATGGTGGTGTTTCAAATGAAAATCTAGATTTATGGATTTTGTTAGTTGGTACTTTACTTGATCTTGTTCTGAAAGTTATCACCAGTAATCTCAATGATACCATATCAGGAACAATTGTCATGAATTTGACATGCATAGTACTTGATCCATTCATCAAGTTCTTAAGGCTTCATCCAAATCGGAAAAATGGTTTTCAAGATTTTGTGGATAAGCTTTTGGAACCTTTGCTATGCTTACTGCATGTAATACACTCTTCTGAACTTGCCACAAGTAAATTATTGAAGCTAATTGAAGAAGTCTTCTCTCAGGGATTATTTCATCCCTCTCACATTGATGGATTTTTGAGCTTACAAAGCTTATCTAAGTATAAACTATCTGATGAAGGAAAGCCAAAAGACTCAAAAACAGTTATCAGAAGTTATCACAGACACTTGTTTGATAAACTAGGAAGAATAGTGGTGGAGAAGAAAGCCTTGGCATTATCTGGTGAAGGGGAGCTTTTTCGTATGTATGTCCATTGTATCAAAAGGCAAGATAGTCTATCTGCTTTAAATGCTGAAACTCGGAAGTCATTGTTTGATTTCTTTGTACAAATTCTAGAGCCTTTGTTAGGTGACATTGATATTTACCTTCAAGATGAAATGGAAATAGGAACAATGCTAGAAGATGTTCATTGCACACTCACATCATTCAACTCAATTCTTATCAACTTAATGCAAGAGAAAGTCTACACAAGGGTAGATGATGCATCTGAAGGGGCTTGTGCTAATTTCTTGAAATTGGTCTGTGATAAAATAACACTACTTTCTTCCAAAATAAATCAGTTAGTTTCTTCAACTTTTGATGCAAACAATGGAACATGTAAGGATTTGGTGGAGTTGGTAGCCAAAGATGTTATTTCATGCCTGGATTATTTATTGGAAATTGATTATGAGGTTCTTGGGAATGATCTTGAAAGTTTATGGCTTTTGATGTTCTCATATGGGACACTTGGACACAGTTTGACAAATTCACAGGATAAGCCCTCGATAATTCCAGAAATTCTTCATCTTGGATGCCACATGGTTAACCTTTACAGTGAGCTTCGTCAGGTTAGTGGAGCATTCTTTGATTTGAACTAATACTTTGTTTGACATATTAATAAGCTTAACTTGTTTATGTAAATTGTTATCTCAAATTGAAGTTAGACTTATTAACATAAACCATCTATATTTGATAGGTGGGAACATCTGTTTTTGCACTTTGTAAAGCAATCAGGCGTTTCATATCATCTGCAAACAAAAAAGAATCTAATCATTCAAAATCATGGGGAAATTCATTGAGACTGATATTATGCTCACCAGAGTTAAAACTTTCCATCCATAATGCTGTAAAGTCCATACCTGAAGGGCAAGTGGGTTTATCTATTAAAGAATTAGCTACTGATGTCTCCGAATCCCTTGAATGGATGAAGGGTACTTTAGACAATTCACATCATAATGTCCAGTTGAAAGCAGAGGTTCTTGGTAGTGGTTTATCCGAAGTGTACACTTTAATTGTGGACTCATTGGTTGTCACTACAGGTAATAGTAGTCTTGTTGGAGTTTCTCTAAATGATTTGATGAAACTCATTTCTCCTACTATGAGTGTTTTGATCTCACAACCAAAAGGAGTTGATGAGTTTCTTTCTGTAGTTTCTGGAAGAAAATTCTCCAATAAAGTGAAATCTCATTGGATTTTTCTTTTCTTTTTTCGTTTATATATGTCTTCTAGAAGCTTATATCGACAAGCCATCACTCTTGCACCTCCTACTACATCCAAAAAGATGTCAGAAATAATGCGGGACCCCTTTACGGCTTATTCTGGAAATGATTGGTTGGAAAAGACAGAAAAGGACAAAGGGTATTTTTCTTGGATTCTCCAACCTTCAGTCTCTCTTCTTCTCATTATAGAAGCAATTTCAGATGTTTGTAGTAAAGAAAGCAAGACAGATCTTTCTCCTCTAACATATGTTTTGAATGCTATGGCACTTCAGAGGCTTGTTGACTTGAATAGATTGGTCAACTCCCTTGAGTTTGTGATCAAGAGGAATGAAATGATAATTAGTGAGGGGAAAGAAGCAGAGGGTATTAATGGTAAACAAAATAAACGATTGGGAAAGCGACTTATGAAGTTATCAGAAGAGGCGAAAGGTCTTACAAGTTATATAATGGGACACCTGTCTTTATTGAATAAATCTGAGCCAAATTATGAAAGTGGATGGGATTTTTCGGTTGCTTCCATAGATAAGAAGTCATTACCTTCTGCACTTTGGTGCATGATTTGTCAGAATATCGATGTTTGGAGTGCTCATTCAGCTAAGAAGAAATTAAAGATGTTTCTTTCAATTCTTCTTCAAAATTCTCTTCCATTTGTGAAGAGTAATTTGAAGCAATTTGGAGAGCAGAGTGTTGTTGGAGGTGGAAACTTGAAGAAGGTCATGATACATGAAATCTCATTGGAGCTTCTCAGCAATACAATGCTATATGAGGAAAAAGTAAGATGGTATTATAAAATTAATCCTTCTACTTGATTAGTGTTTGTGTATGTGTATTCTTTGTTGAAGAATAATTGCATCTAATGTTATTCACATTGTTCTTTAATTCAGTTTATTCGAAGACATATGGCATCAAGGTTTTGCAGCTTTCTTCAAGAGTTAGTGTCACCATTATTTAACAATGGAGTAGATATTGAATTGCAAGAGGAACCCAAATGGCCTGAGGTTTTAAGCTCCCTTAAAATTCCTTCAGTAGTTGCAAATAATATCAGTGAGGTGAATGATTGTTCTTCAATGGATCCATCATCTTCTCTCTCTATCAAGAAGCAAGAAGTTGATGAATCAAGTCAGATATATAAAGTTTGTCAAAGTTCACTCAGTTTTCTCTGTTGGATGCCCAAAAGATGGATAAATTCTAAATCTTTTTCTCTCTATGCAACTTGTATATTAAATCTTGAAAGGTAACAATTACAAAATACTCTTTCCTCTTTCCTCTTATTGATTAACAACTAAAAATGCTTTTTTTTTTTCAGGGTTATACTCAACACTTTATTGGGTGAAAAATTGCATGATCATCTTGAGCTTTTGAGGCTCTTTCTTTGTTGTAGAAAAACCCTAAAGTATCTAATGATGACATTCTGTGAAGAGAATATTTCCACCAATCAAAATTCTCTTAATGCCCTACACTTTAAAGGCAAGTTTCCAGCTTTATGGCTCTTAAAGTCATTACTCTCACTACAAAACACATTTTCAACAAATCACAACACTGAATTGAAGAATATGATGTTTTCACTTACTGATTACACATCATATGTGTTTTTCACCCTCATCAAGGGTACTCTTGTCAATGCAAGCCATTCCCTTATATCCTCTAGGGATCCTTTTCACAAGAATACTGAATCTGTATCTCCATCTGATCAAGAAGATGGAATTAATGCAACAAACTTTTTGATTCATGTATCTGAGGAATTAAAAGATTATGCAGAAATTATGTTAGGGGAAAGGGAAACCAGTTGTTATGGAAAGGCGACATCTGTTCTTTCTTGCTTTCAGGGATTTTTGTGGGGACTTTCATCTGCTTTATCTCGTATGGACACAAAGAATATTAATCTCAAAGCCATTTTCTCTAGAAAAAAGTTTGAACCTATTGACAAATTGAAACTCTGCATAGATACTTACACAGCTTCTATAAACAAATCTTTGTGTGAGCTCTTTCTGAAAGCTTCTTTTTCCGAAATTTCCTCTAATGGGTATGAAAAACGCCTAAATTTGGAAACTTTAGAAATGGGAAACACAGAGATAAACAAGTCCTTTCTTCAGAATCTTCTAGAAGGAGAAAGTTTATTTCTTAGACAGCTATTCATTTCCTATTCCGCTATTCTAAGGTTAAATTCACAGATGAAAACTCCATTGTTGTCAAAGGTGGTTGTTATATTCCTAGAAATCTCAGAAGTTTTGTTGTTGGGATTCTCAAAGAACACTGGAAATAGAACAACAACACCATCAGAGTTAACTTTCGTGTTGTTGGATGCGATTGGGAAGTTTCTAGAAGAATTGGGAAACCATATTTCTTCATCTAACCCTACTTTGCCTCCAAAAGTTTATGAAAGATTGATTGATTTGCACTTAAAGGCAATTGGAAAATGCATTTCTTTACAAGGAAAAGAAGCTGCTTTAGAGTCTCATGAGACTGAATCAAGTACAAAAACAATGAATGATCAAATTAATGGAGTTTCTTGTTTAGATGAACTCAAAAACAGATTAAGAATATCATTCAAAGTTTTTGTTGGAAAATCTTCAGAGGTGTATATATCTTCTGCTATGCAGTCTATTAAAAGAGCAATGGTTGTAGGAAATGTCTCTTCAGTTGTTGCAGCTGGAATTGATTGTCTTGATTTAGTCCTTGAGGCCATTACAGGTAAAGTTATGTTCATCATTTATATTTCTGAAAACATTTTCCTAATATGATACTGAAAATTTCCATTTTCTTTAAACAGGAAGGAAGAGTCTGAACACAGTGAAAACAGATATATTGGGCTCACTTTGTTGTCTCTTCAACATTGTTCTTCATTTGGAGGGCCCACAAATCTTCTACAGAGACCTCACTTCAGTTACATTCTATTCTACTGATCCAGATCCTGGATCTGTTGTTCTTATGTGTATTGAAGTACTTACAAAAGTGTCGGGAAAACACGCGCTTTATCAAATGGATTCGTGCCATGTGGCACAAGCTCTTAGTATTCCTGCTACACTTTTCCAAAATATTCTGAATAAGGGTGTGAAAACCGATGTTTTAGATAGAGAATATTCGATTGAATTATATGCAGCATGTTGCAGGATGCTTCATACTTTACTCAGGCATCATAAAAGGTTTGAAATCTTTACTTTTTTTTTTTAATGTGGATAATATTCGATTGAATTATAGGTAAAAAAAACTAAGTACATTGCAGGGAAAGTTTACAGCACATTGCTTTGCTTGAAGCTTCTGTTTCTGTTCTTCTTCATTGTTTGGAGATGGTAAACAATGACCAAACTACCCTCGAAAGTGTTGTATGGGGGTTACAAGAGGGGGTAAAATGTGGAGCTTTCCTTCGAAGAATTTATGAAGAGGTTTGTTTATTCATTCAAGGAAATGTGATTCCTTTCACTTTGTTAATTTTCATCCCTTATCAATTTATGAAGATTTTTAAATTTTTTTGTTGGCAGATACGACAACAGAAAGATGTGATTGGGCAGAATTGTCGCCTGTTTTTATCCAGTTACATAGTGGTGTTTTCAGGATATGGTCCTCTGAAAACCGGAATCAGAAGGTCAGTTTTGTAATTTTACTTTCGTTTCATTCTGTATTTACAACATCTGATGGAAATTTTTTGATTGCAGGGAGATAGATGAAGCTTTGAGACCAGGTGTTTATGCTTTAATAGATGCTTGCTCATCAGATGATCTCCAATATATTCATACTGTTTTAGGAGGTAATTATTAATCCCATTCCCTTCTTATTTTAATCCCTCTCAATATATTCAAACCATTAAACTATTTTTTTTTTTTTAAAATGATTATTATAAACACCAACACTAATTCACTTGTTTTACCTTTGTATGTTCCAGAGGGTCCATGCAGGAACACCTTGGCAAATCTACAGCATGATTACAAATTGAATTTCCAATATGAAGGAAAAGTGTAACTAACAAATGTTCTAAAAAACTACCAAAATTTTGTTGTATGTTGAATGGGTTAACCCATCAAAGGTCTTAATTTATTTATGTGCGTAATTCTTGGAGTTTGTATTAAGGCAAAATTTTCTTCTTTCAGACAATCCAATTCCCATATATTTCTCATCCCTTGATGCTCGTAAATTGAAACCAAAATATAAGACCCATTAGATAAAGAAATGACAATAACCAACTCCGAATGCTTTTGATACCATATTCTCATCGCAAACAGCCATATATGAATTATGGAAAAATGTAAATAAGAAAAAGAAAACTTAATCTCTTTTAGAGTATGGTTTTCCAATTTTGATAACAATACCCAAGGAACATACAAACTCAAAGTACTTAAGTCAATTGTATCATAACATTGTGGTCTTTGTCATTGGAGATTCCTGAAGCTGTAGCTGTAGTGTTTTCTTTCTTCTAATACATTTGTTTTCTTGTATAATATTATGTTATTTGAGTCGTGAGATAGAATGTTGAAGCACAATTATTATGCTATATGAATATAAAGTTTTATAAGAACACTCTTATGCATTTTTCTCAAAAGATCACAACCTTTTTTTTAAATGTTATATAGACAAATCACATGTTGCTTTAGATTTGTTCTCATATTTCATTACTATCCGTCTTAATGCGGAGAAGATTTAGCCATTGAAGAGCTTGTACAACAATGATATTGAATTTAATTAGGCTATTGGTATATTTTCTTTCAAGGGTTTATGTATGTATGTTTCTTAAATTCTATAAAAAAACATATTTCGGCTTTATCCAATCACAACGGTGTACAAGAAAAGAAATCTTATTTGATTTGGATATTTACTATTTTGTGGCAAAGATTGTGGTTGGTGTTTTGAACAAGAAACCTTATGTTTTGACAACATAAACCTTTGTTGATTTGGATACTCTTATATGTACACTAATTCAATTCTTTATGGTTGTCGTGCTTTATCATTATTTTCCAATGAAATCAGGCACCACAAAGTTAGTTTGTTTGCTTAAATTTGCAGTAACCTCATCTTTATTGGGAAGTTTAAAACGAGATTTAAATTGTGGCATGGATCTCTCTTGTTTCTCTATGGATGGCTCTCTAATGTAACAGGTAAATATTATTTGTTCTTGTATGTTGACTTGAACACAAGCTTATTACAAATTTAATGATACATGTCTAGCATTCGAGTCAAGCATATGCATCGAGTTCGATTCACTTCAAATCTAAGCATTTGGTAACATGGTAATATATATATATATATATATATATATATATATATATATATATATATATATATATATAGTTCTAGTAGAAAAAAATCAAATAGCAAACACAATACTATTTTGACATATTTACATTTTTTTTACAAATATAGTTAATCTTCTATAATTTTTTTTATTTTTATTTATTTTTTTGAAAATCGTATTATTGACAAAAAGTATTTTGTAAAATGAAACCAATCTATTATATTTAAATTTTACAGATGATATTTTATTAGGATTATTTTTTGAGGCATAAAATATGGATTTTACAGTGATTTCGAATTTGACGCCACTAAAATATTCCAGATCCTTCCAGGGTCAATTTGGTAATTTTCAAATTGTTTAACCTGGTACTACTAAACCCTCTCTTCTTATGCTTCCAAAATAGTGTATGGGATTAGGGCTTGTACCCTAGCTGCTATGGATATGAGTTTCAAGAATCATTTGGTTATCCTAATGTTCATGGTGGATGGAATCGTTAATTTTTCTGTTAATTTCGATATTTATATGGTATTTTCGATGAATTTAGTTCACAAACTATTGTCAATGGATTTTCCGACTCGATCCAGAGTACTGCGGCCGTGATTTCCCTGTTTAAAAGGTATGATTTTGTGTGCATTTTCTAATATTTACAAAGTAATGATTATGTTTGAAGCTAGGGTTTATAATCTATATACAAATTCAATAACGTTGTTGAGTCATAAATTTAATTAAGCAAAAAAATAGACAACTCTTATTTTTATATGTAGGTATATGTTAGGCTGAGAATCTGTTTTGTTTCTAGAACAAAGTTAGTAGTCAACTAACTAGATGATTAACAAGAACCTGGAAAACTATTCATATTGGTGCAATTAAAATAAAATTTAAAACATGCCGTATATCTTTTGTAATTACTGTTCATAAATACAGTATAATCTCTTTCAAAAGTTGCTAAAATATCAATGAAAATTATATATATATATATATATATATATATATATATATATATATATATATATATATATGAGTTAGTTATTTTGTTTTCACTGTGCATGTATGATTGATTCTTGACCGATCATTTTAGTTATTTTAAAAAAAGTAATTAATGTATATTAAATGTTGAAGATATAATGGATATTAATTACATCTTCAGCATTTAATATGCATTAATTTCTTTTTTAAAATAACTAAAATGATTAGTCCATAATTAATCATACATGCACACAATAGATAGTGAAAACATTTGAACCTAACTCATATATATATATATATATATATATATATATATATATATATATATATATATATATATATATATATATATATATATTGGATTAGGTTCATGTGAGGCCACTAGATTTTGTGAGACGGGGAGACCATATCTTGACCACTCATCTTGAATAATCAAAGGCTGATATTAATTTAGATTAAACCATAAAATAGGCGGTGACATTTTTGTAAATTAATGGGACTTTGGGATTAGATCAAGACACGGAGGGGCAAAAATGGAATTTTGCATTCTTTTTCGTTTAGCACACAAAAACACTCGGTATTCTTCTTAAAAACCCTAGATACGAACACTAAAACCCATTTGATCCAAATCTCAATCATCGTTCTGCTTCCTGAAATTCATCTTCCGATTGTTACACGAAAACCCTCGATAATCAACTAGAACACTAACTTCTTGTGATGTTGAACTCGTCATCTTTGATTTCTCTTTGGATCGATTTCATTTGCGGAGTTCTGCACTTTAATCCCTCGATAAAACCCTAAACTTACTTACTTTGATTCTTATCGAATATTTCTATCAAAGAAAATGGATACATCAACACGTGCTTTAGAATCTACGCCATTAGATCATCTAAATGACATTATTACCAAAACTTCTCAAGAAATTCCAGGTAATTTCAATAGTTCTGTTAATTATCATTATATATCATTGTTCTCGTTTGATAACAAGGATGTTGCTTCGAGAATTGATCTTCTATTGTTGCTCCATTCTCCAAATCTACACACTGTTAGTGATTAGGGTTAGGCAAATACCCATTATTAGGATCATAAAGTAAAATAGGTGAAACGAAATGAAATAAGATGCAAGATATACCATACTTTCAAGAAGCAAGCGAAAATGTAAAAAATAACCTTAAATTAATCTACAAAATCGGTAGTAATCAAACTAGCAGGAGTAAGGACCTTGTGCAAATGCATTGCAAAGTATTGAAAATTTTACCCCTGTTTCAAAAATGGCTGGTTTGAGAGATTTTTAGAATTGTTGACTGGTACTTTGTTGAAAGATGAAATTAGGTGACAATTCCCTGGTATAAATATAATGATTAGATTTTTTATTTTTCTAAACAGAACATATAACATATGAAGTAAAAATGATGATCAATTAAAGAAGGAAGAAAATACTTTTAAACTGCTACACTTTTAAGCTCAATCTTTGACTTTATAGTTTATAATTATAATATTATGCAACTGTTTATACTAACATTAATTATTTTCATGCAGTTAATATTATAACAAGAATGACAAAATCAAAAGTAAAAATGATGACAGCGGGTAGAAGTAATGAAGTGGAAACTTCAACAGGCAAATGGTTGGTTCAAAAAAGAAAATCATCGAAGTCTATCGATGAATCAACAACTACAACTTCAAAAGAAAAAGAAAAAAAAGGTACATTATCAGTTATTCTATTCTAATAAAATATTTATCTTATTTGTTTATGTTATTCTATGTATTATAATAAAATATTTTATATTCTATTAATGTTTTTCTACATTCTATTAATCTTATTCTAATAGAATAACTGAATGGGACTTTGGTATTAGATCAAGACACAGAGGGGTAAAAACGGAAATTTTCATTCTTTTTCGTTCAGCACACAAAAACACCAATTTGATCCATATAAATATTCTGATATAATAAGTGTATATGTATAATATTCTTTTGGAATATCACTTTGTAATTAAATGATATAGGATTTTTGGATTTTTGTGGTGTTACTAACATTTATGACTGATGTAATGAATTATATGATGAATCTAATGAAGGAATCTATGTAAAAAAGAGAATCGGTGATGGAAAATATGTTAAAGGAGTGACAAAGATTAAAGAAGCAAAAAGGAAGAAGAATAGTGAGGACAATCGTGCAGCAATAAAGAAGCAAAAAACCGTCAAAGAGAAAAAGACTGTGAAAGATGCTGTCAAAGAGAAAAACCGTCAAGGAGTTGCCTTCAATAAACACTAGATCGACACCTGGATTGATGACAGATGCTGTAAGTTCTTTGACATTAGAACAAAAAGAGTGGGTAAAACGGATGAGATTTAAAGCATTTTTGAAGATCAACATTAAGAGTATTCTCTTAAAACTTTGCCTTTTTATGCTTGAGCATTATGATGAAGGCACAAACAGTATTCTGATTAAAGGAAAAAGAATAAAGATCACAAAGGAAAAAATTCATAAAGTGTTTGGTTTACCCAAAACTAGAAAAGGCTTATTTTACTTGGATATGGTTAGCGAAGATCATCAAGTGTTTGATGGATGGATGAAGGAACTTGAAGGTGGAAAGGCAAATGCAACAAACTACAAGAAGATTATTCAAAAATCCGAACAGGTAGATATGAATTTCAAGTTGGGTTTCATCGCTTTATTTGTTAATACGTTTGCAGAATCCATTCCTATGGGGACAAACAACTTAGTTCCAGTTAGAGCACTTGTTGAAGTAGATGATATTTCTAAAATCGATTGGTGTGCGTATTTATTGTACTGTGTAAAAAATTCAAAAGGGAGATGGCGTCCAGACAACCCCAAGTGTTATTACAGAGGCCCGCTTTTGTTGTTGTTGGTATGTTTTTTCATATACTTATTTTTTTTTTCTTAAAAATGGATATCTAATATGATGTTGAAATAATGCAGCTAATTTACTGTGATGAAATTGAATGCAAGCTCCAAAAAATAGAACGTAAAACACTATTTGTTACGATGTGAACAACAGATAAGTTGAAGGAAAGATAATCTTTTGAGATTGAAGCTGGTAGATTTGGGGTTGGAAATCTAATTGAACAAAGTTCAAATTTAGAACGTGAGAAGAATGAGAATTAGAAGAATGAGAATCAGGACACACGATTGAGGTATATTCTAAGTAGAATATATTATTTAATTATGTTTTAGAATATACTTTAATTATGTCCTAACTTAATATAAGAAAAATATTCTAATGCCTTTTTTTCCCAGGAGTATGAAACAATTTTCAACAATGTCTCAACTGAAAAGGATAATATGGAAGATATTATCTTGCATTGTCTATCGAAATTCTCTGAAGACAATAGAACGAAGAGATGATAAGGAAGTTTAGAGACATATTTTCAACTATATTTTTTTCTAGTCGAGAAAAGGGTAATAAATAGGATTTGATAGAAGTTTGGAATTACTTAAATGTAGTTATGGTGACTAAACAACAATTCCTTTTGTAATATCTATCTTATTTTGAACAAATTATACAAAAAAATGTTGTCTAGTATTATGTAAGAAATTTGATATGGTTTATTAGGTGATTAATGCTTAATGAATAGTTGGTAATATGATCACTTCTTAATGGTCATGGTAGAATATTCAATAGTAAACAAAAAAAAATTAGAATATTCTAATAGAATAATGTTAAAGACATCATTATTCTATTAGAATAATAAAAGATGTTGCATATATATACTAATATAATATTCTTACATGTATAATATTGTATTATAATAATTTGGTAACAAAACATTATACTCTAATTATCATACATAAGACTATTTATATATACTTCAATGCAGAAATTATGTAAGATTATATAATATTATATTGCAATCATCATACAAAAGATGTTTGCCCTTTAAAATTATGTTGTAATGTGTACAATTAACTTGTAAGATTCTAATAGTATATGAAATATTATATAATATTATGAATTTACAACTTATAGTGTTATAGGAATATATAGAATAGTCCATAGAAAAAAATTGATTTATAGAAAAGAAATGTTTATAATGTTAATGTGTAATAATCTGAAAGATTGTAATATGATGTAATATTATATTATAATATGAAATATTCTAATTCATACCATCATTCCCTTCAAGTGTGTAGAAAACCAAATAATATGTAGGAACCTAGACTAATAAACTTTTTAAATGAGTGAGAAACATATAAGTTTATAAAATGAAATGAATACTCTTAGGATAAATATCAAACTTTTCTCTGGAAGTTGAAACCTATTCTAAAAACCTCATAGATTAAAAACCAAATTTCAAGTTTGTATTATAAAAAATATATCACAAGGTTACAGTATTTATATATGTTGTTAATTGATACATAATATTATGAAATTATATGGAATATTATAATATTAAAGTGTAATATTCTAAATTGTGTTATAACATATAAAATGAACTTATATTACATAAGATTCTAATGTTATATTTAATATTCTGAATATACATACCATTCTAACATAATAATTTAATTAGGTTTGTCTATATTCAAGTTACAACTTAATATTCTTATAGAATAATGCTATAGGATGTTTGTATATGTAGAACATTCTAAATAGAATGTAACACTAAATGATTATATGAATATCAAATATCAAACTAGAATATAGCAATATATATGTAAGAAAATTAAAATAATGCACAATTTATTTGTAAATACCAATGTAAAAATAAAAAACTTAGAAGATAGTGTTATCGTTTTATTCAATTACCTCAACTACATCACTTGAAACCAAATATATATATATATATATATATATATATATATATATATATATATATATATATATATATATATATATATATATATATATATATATATATATATATATATATAAGCAAATTTACAACATCCCATTACATTGAATGAGACACTACAAGAATTATTATCGAGCCACATTCTTTACAGCTCCATTCAAGACTTACCTAAAAAGTTGTAATGATAGAAGACATGAAAGATTTAGCTAATTTAATAATTGTATGTACCACTTTACACTGTACGAGGGATGAAAGGGGTTTTATGGGTATTAGGATATATATATATATATATATATATATATATATATATATATATATATATATATATATATATATATCTACTGCAATAACAATGTTTAAAGTTGCACAAATGTAGAGAACAATTTCATCAAGAAATAAATAAAGAGAGTGCAGGGAGTAAATTAAACCAACATCTTCATTGCAGATTTCAAATCTAAAGATGAACTAAATCCTCATCATCCATCAACTTCTTAGCATGGACCAAGAACCATTGAAACCAACATGTCAATATGCTTCTTGAATCTTGAAGTTCTCATCATTAACTAATGGTGGCAAGATAGGGATGATATGCTTCTTCCAACATATACACTGAACATTTGCATAGATGATAGTTGTATGTCCTTCAACCACTGAAAAAAGAAGTACACCAATCATCACTAATTTAAGAAAAACCATCTTGGAATTTAGGGTTAATATCATTAAATAGTAACAAAGTTTAAGGGTGGGAAGGAAGGAGTGATATATTAGACTCTACATCAGACTCTTTATTCATTTAGGACTTTCATCAAACAAGTGGAGTGCACGTATAATGTAAGAGAATTGGCTCAAAAAGAATAATAGTTATATACATACATCATTGATTTTATAGAATGAGCACAAAATAACACAAAAATACGTTGTTTTTGCTTGCTTATCTTCATTTAATATGTGCTCGAATGCACATAAAAAACCAAAAGCTTGAAATTGATAATCGATGGCTGAAATCAAATACTTGAAATGATAATAGATTTAAGATGAAGTTAAATTGATAAAACACCTAATTTGAGAGTAAACTTGAAGCATCAATGTGATGGAAATCGATTTCAATTGATGATTGATTACCAATGTTGATGAATAGCTAAAAATCGCTTATCTGAAAGTGATGAAAACTCAGGGGAAGAAAACTCAAACCTTGATCAATTGATAAAATCATGATGTAGAGTAAAAAGCACAGCTTGAAAGATCGGTAGCAATTGTTGAAGATGAAGATTAGCAGAAATCGACTGAACGCTTGAACTTCTACCGTGGATGAAATCGATGATCACAGAACTAAAATCGATAAAAATCTTGTAATGAATTGTTGATGTCGATAGATGAACATAAACCTCAATCACTCAAATCAAAGCAAATAGAAGATTGATCAGCATGAATGGAAGATTATGGAATGTTGATCGATTAGTGTGAATTGGTAGAAAGAATCTAAGCAACTGGGTTTTGTGATAATGTGAAGATAACAGATCTGATGATCTAAAATTTAACCTAGTGACTAATCTACCCCTAATTAACTATTTTTTTATATTAATTAGTGTTAATCACGTTTCTTATGAGCCACAAGATTAGTTTTGATCAAAGGCTCAAATTTGGTCCCCATGTCTCACAAAATATAGGTGGTCTCAAATGAACCTCTCTCTCTCTCTCTCTCTCTATATATATATATATATATATATATATATATATATATATATATATATATATATAGGGAGCGTTCAATCTCGTGAGAACATTTGAGAACAAAAGTTATATTGTAGGGCCTATCCAGTTATATTGTTGGGACTGTCCATCTCTATGAAAGTTGTATCCGATACGGTGGCATAAATGTAAATAAGTTAATTGCTTCCAAAACACATCGCATTTAAAAAATAAAGGGGTATAATCGTAAAAAAAATATAAGCTGGTTCCAAACATACATGGTCGGAATCCTCGAAGCAATCAAAAACCCTTATTTTTCTCAACAAAAACCCTTGCTTCTCTCTAACATTTCAACCATTTTCAACGAAAACGATACATATGTCGTCAAAAACAGAAAAAAAACGATGTTGAAGGTTTCATTGAAAGGTAAATATCACTTGATTCTCATTATTTTCGAGGTTTTTTTTTATGAATATCACTCGATTTTCGAGTTTTCCTACTGTTAGTTTCATCAATATATAGAAATCGGTATTATTCAAAAGTTTTTTTTTTTAAAATCAAACCCTAGTTTCGATGTCGAACAATTTACCTAAGTTTACTAGTTAAAATAAAACTCAATTATACTAATATTAATGTTTAATTTCTTGATTTAACGTTTTGTTATTCATGTATTCCTTTTTATACTCATTTATGATTGAAACAAAAAGATTTTTTTTTTTCAAAAAACATGCATGAAGGTGATAAATCATATGACTGTGTTCAATCATATAAATATTCATCCATAATCACATCTGATTATATGATTATAACCACAAATAATTAAATGATTAAAATCCCTAATTGAATATATACAAAAATTCTTCATTGAAGAACATTTATTCCTATATAATCACAAGTGATTATTGTACCTATATAACTAATCACATGTGATCGTAATCAACAAAAAGTATTTTGTTTTACTATAACCATATCTTTTAACACAATTGATTACAATACTTAAAAAGACAGTCAATAATGATCAAGGTTTGGATGACATGAATTTGCATGATGAAGGTGTTGAAAATGAAAAAGGTGATGATAATGAAGAAGAGCAAAATGCAGAAGGAGAAGGTAAACAACAATATAACTGATCATTAAATAAATATCTACAAAAACTCTTCATTGAACAACATTTGTTCCTATATAATCACAAGTTATTATTCTACTAACTTATTTTGTTTATCTGATTTTTGAAGATGTGAACAAAATAATAACAAACGTTATTGAAAGTATTTTTGAAAACAAATTAGAGTTTTACAGTACCCAAATGTTAAATGATGATGAATTCAATTCTCTTTATGAAAAGACCATGAAAGAATACCAAGATAAAAAAGAAGAGACTATGACGCCCTTATATGATCTCAATATAAGTCACTAGACACCTCTAGAGATGATAGAGGTGAATATTATTTTGTGTGCTCGTACAATATCATATCTTTATGAATTCAATAACATATGATTTCATTATTTCTAAAACATACAATCACATGTGATTAAAAATAATTATCACTTTACTTAAACTTACAATCATATGTGATTAAGAGTAATTATAAAAATTTTAAAATTATGATTCTAGTATCTTTCTAACTGTTATAACCATATATAAATTGCAGAATACCGTTGATGAAGAAAAATATGAAGGTAAAAAAGAAGATGTGAAAGATGTGCTAGATACAAAAACAAAGAGCCACCACCCAGACATGACAAAGGTAAATATTATTTTGTCTATTTGTACAATATCATATCTTTATAAAGGTAATCACATATGATTTTATTATTTCTTAAAGGTACAATCACATGTTATTGAAACTAATTATCACTTTACTTAAACTTACAACCATATGTGATTAACAGTAATTATAAATATTTTAAAATTATGATTCTAATATTTTTCTAACGGTTATAATCATATATGAATTGCAGAATATTGCAAAAGATGAAGGTAAAAAAGAAGATCTGGTGAAAGATATGCTAGATCCAAAAAGAAAGAGCCACCCAAAGATAAGTAACTAAGGAACCTCGACAACAAATCAAAACAAAGAGTCTTTACCTGAGCTTACAG